TGCCTCAGTTAACAGTAGGAGAGGAAGCATGGATTCTACCATTACCCGATAGTCAAGAGCGGTGGGAGGTGTGGTGACTGCGAGAGTCGGTGCCAGGTCATAAGAAACAAACGTTGGAGAGAAAAGGTTCAGAAAAATCGAGTGCGTTTGAGACGACGCCGAAGACAACAATGTGGAGTTGGAGTAAAGTAGCAGATGGCGAGGGCCAAGGAGACCATTGCCGCAGATACAGCGAAGACAACAAGGAGTGGCAAGTTGTGAGGGGTGGATAGCAATATGGAGGCGCAAGGACACGAAAAATGGATGTGATGGCAGTATCAGATCAGAGTGAGCAGATGGACTAGCCGAGCGATCTAGACGGCCAATAGGAGGCGGACGTGACGGATTGGATTACTGGACTCGAATTGGCCCATATGCGTGTAAGTGATTCACCGTATGTTGAACTGAAGCAAAGAAGGAACCTCATCGACCCAGAAGGTTAGTTAGCTATGGATATGAAACTGCAATTTATATCGAGGAGTTTGGCTTGCTATACATGCTGTGATTTTCGCTGGGCTTTCTGCCGAATAAACGCATGTTTCTGAAGGACTGAGTTCTGAAACAAACTGCATTCGCGTACTGACATCATTTTGTCAGCACATTAGAGGCTTTAAAGGTGATGTGGCTAAGTCTTGGTGGGGATGTGAGAGAATAGTATGAAACGGAGATGCGTTCTGGAAAGTACCAGGCAATTGATATCTAAGAGCATTAGCTGCTCCTTGAGCAGTTTGCGCTTGCCCACAGACGGTGTTTGGAGGAGGGATGTCTCGCTGTACTTCAAGAAGTTCGTTAACATGCCTGTAAATTAGCGTCGTATTGCAGCAGAACTGCTACGCAAAATCCTGGTGTTTCAATCTGTCTCTGCGGACCAGTTTTGATTTGATTTGATGCATTGCAATTAGATTACAAGCCGCCTAGGTGAGTTATGAATCCTGAAAAGTATCAGACGATCGTTTCGCCCTATTGGGACTAGTCAGTGGTGTGTATTCCCTCGATTCCCTGCTGGGGACCGAACCCATGACTGTTAGTGACTTGTATCACTAGCCAGCAGCTTATGCCACTGAGCCATGGGGGATGACGATAAACGACCATCACAGATTGTAACCTAACTGTGATATATCCCGACCAACCCTCCACTGCCATGCAGGCTGCTTCCTGTGCAGAAAACAGAGGTTTTGCTCGGTTATGTATATATTGCAGTTTCTGGCGTTTGTATCGGATTTGTGTGCTTTCCAAAGTGAATCGCTCAGGGTCAATCGTTTCGGCGTCCTACTCCTCAGTAAGGATCGACAAATTGCTGCATAAGCACGCCAAGGGCCAAAAAGTGAAGCAGGGTCGAATGGATGATGACCCAACAAAAAAGAACTACAGAAATAGCAAAGGCCTTACGGACGAAATATCGAAGATTTCGGAAGGTCTTATCATCAGGCGATTATCCAGCTTTGGTTGCCCCGTCGCCAGGACTCACCGACATCTTTTATAGCTGAAGCTGTTTTGCAAAAGCTGGTGGTCATTGATCAGAATACCCAGTTGGACTGTACCTCGCATCGCCGAGGAATATACCATATATTTATTTATTTATATATGCGTAAGCACACCTCCCCTGTCGTCGATACAATTCGGGCGGATGCCCTGGGAGCAGTAGTAAGACAACTGGAAAAATCCTTTATTGAATTCCTTCAACGGTGCTTAGACCAGAACCAGGTTCATGCCATGGAATACTAACGCCGATTCCCAAGGAAGGAAGTAGGGCCCATCTTCAAACTACCACCCTCCCTATACTGTTCAAAGTCATGGAATCTATCATTGCCGATACGCTGGTGTGATATCTGGAAGTCTGTAAGGTTATTGCTCCCGAGCAGCATGAGTTCCGTCGAAAGCGATTGTGCAAAAATAGACGGATCGAGTCAGTTGACGCTGGAGAGGATGTTGACGTGATCTACATGAATTTGTCGAAGGCATTCGATCGTCCATACAATCGGATTCTCCTTTCCAATCTCCAGTTTTACGAGACTGATGACCATCTATTGAGCTAAATCGGCAACTTGATACTTCAACACCAGTTAGTGGTCAGAGTCAGCAGCTCCTTATCTGACCGCATGCAAGTGGAGTGTGGTGTCACAGGGCTCTGTACTACGTCCACGATCAGTTTTGGAAATTATTAATTACTTCGTATAGGTAACCGCTTTAAATGTCTTACTGTTTGCAGACGATAACAAGACATGGCGTGGGATTCAGGTGAATATCGACTAGCATTTGTTTCTACGCGAGCTAGAGTTGGTACATCAATGGTCAACGCGATTCTTACTGCAATTTAAGTAAGGCGAATTTAAGGTACACTCCATACGAGACCAGAGTACCTACCACTACAGGCTTGAAACGCATGTACTGCATCGATCTTCCATTGAACGAGTTGGTTCAGAATGTCCAGAGTTGACATAAGCAATCCGAAAAGGCATCGAAAGCTGGCAAACTACATGTCAAACCGTTGAGACAGGCGTTCGGACGTATAGACATCCCTATCTACCGACAGATACTCCGTATGTTCACCCGCATGATAAATATGAAATTCAAGCTTGACAGCCATGGCTTAAACACGACCTCAATGAACTGGAGCAGCCTCAACATCGGGCTTCCAAGTACCTAATTGTGGTACGCAATCTCCCACACGAACAGAGGCTGAAACGACTGGGGATATTCAGCGGACGTTATTGCGGAGTACGAGGAAACTCGATAATGTATGAGCCAAAATAGTGTGCAGCTCTTTACTGCAACTCAGCAGTAACACAAAGTAGGGAGGTCAGTTTATGAAATTTCTTTTCTATTCGTGTAGGTCAGCCGTGGAACGCTCTCCTCGACAATAGCCATATGTCAAAGATTGTTGAATGAGGCACTCAACCACTTGCATTTTGTTACTTAGCACCGTCTCTCCGTTCTACTCCAGGGAGTTACTTTGGATTTATTAGCTACCACTTGTTGTAAAAGTGAAACCACGCGCAGCGCGGGACTACGGCATAAAAAATGACAAGTCCTTAAAGTAAAAAATTAGAATGCTGTTTCTTTTATTATTACCGTTTTCGATAACCCCAACAAACCACCAGACGGAGCCTGTATAGCAGTACTACGTAACCAGTACAAAGTCATGGTTCATTGACTTAAAACGATCAAGTGGTTAACGGCTTGGATCATCGTATCTTACTTTACAGGCTTCTGATATACATGTTATTGGATATTCAACATTGGGATGAATCAGTAAATCCGCAAACGGCAATAGGAAGTAAAATTTTCCCAAACCGATTTGAGTTAACTGCGGTGTACCGCAAGGTCTAGACCATGAGGCCCTGAAGCGCGATTTCGATGAGGCCTGGGATTGGTCGGTGGGGAATGCGCTGCCATCCAATGGGGACAACTATCGAATTGTTCATATCCGCCATCGTCACGCCTACATATACAGGCTTAGGGCGCACGATCAGCAAACCAGCTCCCAAGCTCGTGACCTCAGCGTGCTCGTACAGGACGACCTCGTTTGTTCCAGGCAGTCCGAATCCGTTTGAATAGAGGTAGCCAGCATGTTGCTCTCTTACAAAAAGCATTCGAGAGTTTTAAATTCATCTATTCGCTCCATGATGCCAAGTACGTAGTGTATACTCACACCGAATACGCTATCCAGGCTGCGTGATCTCGCAGTGCTTGAGACCCCACAACATCGAACAATGAAAAATGTCAAGGGTTTGCGCCGCCCACTGTGGCAACATCAGCTGAATAAATGCGGAGCGTCCGGCGAACGCCACCGGAGACCTCAATGAAATACCAAATAGCAAAAGATCTCAAGAACGTATTCCATCAATTGTTAAAACACTAACCTAAGAGGCAATCACTTGAAAATTAAAGCAGCAATGCAACTATCTGGACTGTGCCGGCCCGCAGTCTGAGGGCGCGAGTTCGAGCCTGCGTAGGGGACCGGGCGATCATCGTAGTATTCTTAACTTACATGCGATCGGTGGTGATTGCGCGGCAGCGAAGTGTTGGTACTGCGTACTGCTGGCCTTTTTTTCTTTTCGTCTGGACTGAAGACGAAGTTACTTTTCTCTTTGGATTTGCCAAGCGTGGAACGCCCATCCAAACTCAGTTGTTTCTGTCCCATTTTAGTCATTTTCTAAAAGTGTCTGGACTTTTTAAATAGCCACGCGTAAGTTTTTACATAAATGTGGCACCTCAGAACCTATTCCAGTGAATTAGCGTACTGGGAATTAACATTCACGCTGATATATGGACGTCAGTGAAGGCGGGTGAGCTGTCCGATTATTCTTTACAAGAAGCGTTAGCTGTTTTGCACAGTGTAATCCCATTTCAACCTTGCCCCAAAGATGCCGTTATCCAGTCGCGTTTCGGTTTGTTCGCATGTCTAAACTTAGCTTTTGCAATTCACTTCCTGATCAATCAATGCGACGAAGTAGACATACACTTTTTACTCGCCATAAACCATTGTTTCACTGTGTGCCCCTAGCCATCCTAGGCTAGGTGAATTTAACACACACAGCAAACACTGCGCTCTAATCCCATCGCCATGGTGTTGGTTCGATTTACGAATTCTGTGGGGTAGTACTCGAAGAGATGAATTGTGAGATAAATGAGGTCGATAAGTTGGACGATTGAGCAATGTATCTAGCAGATGATGCATAGTAGATAACAAAAAATATCAGGCGCGTCGATGAGAGCGAAAGTTGCAGTTCCATATCAGTGCCCAGATCAGGATGAGGAAAATAGCAGTTTTGAATATGAGTACCACAGATCGACGGGTGTTATGACACGTGATCAGAATTTGCAGTAGACACTAAGCAACTAAAATGAGCCTATCTTGAGATATCATCGGAATATCAGAAACATGACTGTCAAATATCAGTATCTGATGTGTTTTGAAACACTAGATGGACGTTTCTTTCGTTTCCATTCATTTTTAGTGCACTATATGAACCGTGCTGGTGGACCGTACTGGACGAACTACGAGGTCCAACCGGAACACCCAAATTTGCAACCAATGATGGACACTTTTCAAAGAGTCTCTCGGTTGCGGGCATATGAAGCTCCTTTGGAGGTCATTGAATCAGTGCTGAGGTACTTGGGAGCAATAAACATAATCAGCACCGCAATCATACTCACATGCAAAGTGGCACACGTCCGAAAGGATCTACTTATTCAATGGCTGTTGGTGCGAGACCTGCTGCGCCGAAAACCAAAAGAGTACCGAATAGTTCCGTCGGGGAATGCGCATAAAGTCGAAAAAGCTGTGATTGAAGCATTGCACAAATCCCGCACATCAGATAGAGGGGTTGAACTTGAATCATGGGGTGTACGCCCGAAAGGAATTTTTACGAAAATGCAGAACGAAGTCACGACGACAGAGATCGGATTAGGAAAGCGGGAGGATGTCGGTGAGGAGAAAAAGCACAGTTCGGCAGGGTACGCAAAGGTAAAGCTGAATCCGATGAAATCAGCAGCGAGAAACAACACACAAGAGCCAGCGATACAGTCGCATAGAATCTATTCCCTATGATGCGCTGCGTTGTATAATCACAATTGTGCCAAAAGAAGACAGAAACCAAACATACGGGAAAGCTATTTGTAAATAGTAACGTACATATTTCATATTTGATATAACTACTATCAACATAGTCTGGATCACAACGCCTAGTGGATCAAGGAACATAAAGTCGTGGTGTTCCAGATAAGAGGTAACGGCCAGGGAAGTTGTAGGATCGTAAAATATCCTAAGTCAAGAAATCACCTAGGATAGCGATTTGACCAATTGTCTCTGTCAAATTTTAAAATCCTGATTCGTAGCCAATGCGGAATTGGTTGTAAATTCCCCCCCCCCCCGCGGCTGCCACACAAAGCATCCTTAGCCGGCTTAGAATAATTTTCAGAATTATCCATAGTCCACCGGTGACTCGCAATGACGTTCGCATTTCATTGTTGCGCAAAGTGGATCAATGAATTTAATCAGCACGTTCACATACACCCGCAGGTTGGCAGTTCATTGCTTCGTGGTGACGTCTAATAAGCAAAGAATCTTGTGCCACTTTGGCAGTCCCGCATTAAAACGGAGTCCGTCGCGCATATGACACAATTGGCACATCGAACAAAAACAACCTGCAATTAAGGTCAGAAGGTCCAAAAGCTCCGATAGAGGCACGGAAAGATAGTGACAGGAAAATATTTAGACTTTCTGACAACAATAAAGAGTAACAGCTTCCGAAGCAGAAAGTGTAGATATTTATTATCTGCATACCTGAAAGGATTATAAGCGAAATGCTATTTTGCAAGAGCACAGCATAGATGTCATGGGTGGGGTTACAGTGAAACCGAGTACGATGCCTAGAAAACAAATTTGATGTCAAGATGACAGCACAAGTTAGATGAGACGCAGCACGCAGACATGATGAACGCTCCAACTAGAAACATAAAAGTACCATAAGTAATCCGCGAGATTATTAACAGTGCTATTCATTGAAGGTTCCGGTGTATTTTCCGCGTGTTATTTTTCCACAGCTTCAATTCATGCAATGAGCCAATAAGACACGGTTAGTGGATACAAAACTCAGTCGTAACTAGAAGACTATCATGAAGGGACCGCATTAAAATCCGGATAGCTACCGTGAAAAATGAAAAAAAACAGATGGGCACGAGAACTTTAACAGGGGAGTACCGTCTCGTCATCCAGTCACCTATAGCGGTTTCCATGCTAAGTAAATTCAAACAGACGAGTGAACTCCGAAGTAGATAGTAACAACGATTTTGGACATATCAGGTACAAGTGAGTCTGAGCATAAAGTGTGGGAAACATCCGAAGTACGGGATACAGCACAAGATCCGGATTCTGATGTGTAGCATTTTGAACAAATCCTCCTCGGTTCAATGCAAACTATAGCGATGGAAAATGCCGAGGTGATTTGTACCCAAATGTTGGTAGTATTTTTCAGTACAAAGCGGGATAGTACTATTGTCGACACTCCACCTGGTAGTCTTACTCAAAGGAACATGCGGCGTAACCAGAGTGGAAAATCATTCCGACTAAAGCCAACTTTTAATTTCATCAAGATACTAAGTGAACCGGTGGTTGGTTCCATGTCTTTCGCGAAATGTCCAGAAAATGGGATATGTTGATATGTGTAGGTCAACATAACAATTACATTAAGCAATCATCTAAGCCAACAATTCGCACTCAACCGAAACGGATCGGTGGAACCTTCGTTTCGGGAATGCAGTCCACCTTATGGGCAACTGTCAACTCCGTACACAAATCGAATATTACATCTCCGTAAGAATGCCAGAAGACCACGTGTCCAAAACAACCTATGCGAAACGTATCACTCGAAGTGAAGCATCAGCGGTGCTTGTCGTAGATGCGAGGCAAATCGCGCATTTCATCAACCCATGACATGCTGTGATACAAAAAGCAACTGACAAGCGAATGCGTTATCCGCACTGACAACAACATTAGGGGGAGCAGATGTGAGATGAGAGGTTTCTGGAGGACACATTTGACCACAGCTATATGCGTAAGTTCGAAATATCTGCGGTCCTCGGGAAGAATAAAGACGGCTCGAGAAGATGAGGTGGTTATAAGAAAAAGGATTATTGAAAAGGTAGTGGCTATACAGACTGCACTATCCTTCGATCACCAAGCCCAGATAAGCCATTAAGAACCTGAAGTAACATTCTAGTGAAGAGTAGACGGCAATACTTGGAATCCATAAACGGCAGAATGAGTCCAATTCTTAGAGCGTTTGTGGCATGTTGTGAGGGAGGAAACATGCTGAGGCTGCGAACCATAATGAGAAGTACACCCTAAGAATTAAGTGTATCGGAATTAGTAAACAAAAATTGAGATTCAATGTGTTTGCTAAAATCTATGAAATAAAGCAGGAGAGGATTTTTGTCTGTGTGGATCCTAGCAGTGTTCAGCAACATGTCGTATTCCAGCGACTGGCGAGTGAAACATGAAAGGTCACTCTAATCCAGTGTTTTTTGACGGAAGGCGACAGGCAAAAATCGAGTCAATCCTCAGTAAACCGACCAGATGATGTAAAATTGATGAGGAAACAGGGGGCGGAAAACCGGGGTTTGTAGATCGTTTAATCAGGGAGCGTGAGTAGCTACAAAATACCGTCGCCCTCTAGAGTATTTGATGGAGGTCCTCAGACTGTCAGAAAACACCACTGGTAGGCAGTCCTGCTTAAAAATAACGAAAAAGGAGCTACCAGCATTGCTAGTAGATCAGGACAGCTTAGCCCTCAGATAGTTCAAATGCGTAACGATACGATCCGAATGTCACCCGGAAAAATATCCAGCAGATGATTACGAAAATGACGAAAACTGTCCCATGAGAAGAAAATGGAGAGGGAGCGAAACAATAAGGATAGTCTTGACTTATATAGCTGCCAATTACCATACGGTAGCTGATGGAAATCCGATTACAATGCGACTATCTCACAAGGCCTTCTCTATGTCAACTAAAAAACCCAACGTTTACATTTCAAATGAGTAAACCGGAAAGAAACCAGACAACACATTGCTTCACACTGTTGAACAACAGCAAATGCCATAAACAGTAGTTGAAGATCGTATTTACTCAAAAATGAACTACTGTTGTGTCACGTGCGGAAATGACAGCTGCGAAAGGCAAGTAATTACTATCGTTATTGTATGTAAGCACCACATTCCAGTTTGATAAATTAATCGCATCTTCTCACCCGTAACAGAATTATGTATGTGGAGTCGCACCAATTCAGAGGTAACCTTAATATATCCAATTTCGTTACGCTTCAATTTGACAGGTGAATTTCAGTGCCATTCGTGTGATACCGTAATCCATCTCAGGTTGCAACGGTCTCAAAGGAACCAGGGCAAAAGCCACCTTACGCCCCCTTGCACTGTCCTCGTCTTCATACACACACACACACACACACACAGAAATCCGGACAAGACACCAATCTGGGATAACCGACAGTTGCAACACTCTGACATGTGGAAGCACTGACATGTGAGAATAGGTAATTGCAGTGGCACAGATAACAATCTCAGTAGATACAATGGTAGTTCAGTAGAGGGGGAATATTCAAGAGACAAAGTGCCTAAGCAATAGGTAAAGTATTGGTGATACACTGGTGTCTCGTGAAGGCGGACCGTTACCACGCAACCACCCCCAGTGGTCGCGTGCAGGCTGGGATAAAGTGAGGAACACGTGACCTGTGGCTGCGTTGCGCAACAATGAATTGTTTTTCTTTGCGTAGAATCACGTCCCTGTACAGTTCAGAATTTTCAGCCGGCACGCTTTTATCAAGACGAACGGAGAAGAGCTAGTAATGCAGGGCATGATGAGGTGAAACGCCAGAACTGTCGGCAAAAGTGATGCCGGTCACCAGCCACTGAGTGACTGCAAGTACACAAGCTATTCGAGCCAACAAAAGAAGATAAATAATGAGTTGGGACTTGAAGACCAGGCCACTTTCATGAAGCAACTGAAGATGACAGCACACTTTTGGAGGTGGTGTTTTTCTACGGTACATAAATGGTGGTGCTAATGAATAGAGCACTGAGAGATGTGTAAACACGGCCAATTCGATGTTGATCGCAATCAGCATTGCACGACACCATGGTCATGTCCTTTTCAGATTGTCCGGAACCGAAAGCATAATCGAACCTGAGATTCGTGTCTGCAAGTGGACAGAATTACTAATAAACTTCATTGAAGGGCATGTAATACGACCGGCAGCCCCGAAGTGCTGATTCGATACCGACCGTAATGCCAAGGATAGTTTTCATCTGACGGTCGCACTCATTCAAACTCATCGATAATGTACAGAACAGACGAGAAACTGTGCATATGTGTCACGTATGCACTTGAGCATCGATTCGTGGACACAGACACTCACATGATTGGTTGACAATGACCTTGCCTTACTTTCCTTATTTCATTAGTTTTCCTTTCTGGCTTCTCTAGTCGCTGTAACGCAGGACGCTTTTAAGAAATCGGTTCCATACGACGCGTGCTCGTTCTGTTCCGTTTAGCGGCTAAGCGCCATACCTAAAATTCTGGCGACGAGGTTAAACTACTGCGATGTTGCATCCTCCTACATTATTTTGGAATATTCCTTCTGATAAACCAACACCAGCCACCTGGAACCGCTGGGAGCACACTTTTTGGATCATTTGGAGCCACTACCCGTCTTGAAACCAACCAAGGTACAATCAAAGAGCCACAAAATTAAATTATTGAGACACTTTCTGGGGGATGAAGATCAAAGACCTTCTGATACCATCCATGTCGGTGAGGAGACAGTCAACACTGCGATAGAAGTCCTCAGCGGGTTATGGGGTTCACGACTGAACACATAAACTGAGCGGTATTATTTCTCGACCTTGAGTCAAAACCCTGAAGAACGTATCATTGCTTTTATTGCGCGGATTCAGTGTCGGTATAGTGAAATTCCAGTTACGAAGAGGTGATGGCTTTACAGTGCTTGATATCCGGGATCCGTAAAGAACAGGCTCGTGAAAGGTAGTTTACGAAAGATGAAACGACAATGAGCTGGGAAAAGGCCTGCAATATTGTTTGATCCGAAAT